TTGTTCTCTCCTTGTTGACGCCTCTCCCTGGGCTCCTCCTCAGAGTTGTAGGCCGCTCAGGCCTTGCCTCCTGGGGTTTCTACCAAATCTCACCTTATTGATATCCCAGGTAAGCCTGGTGCAGAAGGCTAGGCCACCCTTCCTGCCCTGTGCCCTCCTCCCTCCCTATGTTCCCCACAGCACGCATATCCAACTGACATGCTGTTTCTGGTTTCACCTGTTTCTCCTCTTCAGCAATAAACGCCACGAACACTGTGTTTGCAGAATCACCACCATCCAGAACACTGCTGGGGATGCAATAGGTTCTTAGGTTTGGGTTTTTTTTTTTAAAGAGATTTATATTTTATTTATATGTGTACATGTGTCTGTATGTGTTTATACCACATGTGTGCAGGTGCCCTCAAGGACAGAAGAAGGTGTTGGATCCCCTGGAGCCAGTTACAAGTGGTTATAAGTCACCCAATGTGAGTGCTGAATTCAGTCCTCTGGAAGAGCAGCAAGTACTCTTAACCACTGAGCCACCTCTCCAGCCCATTCTTAGGGTCTTCATAGGAAGGTATATTAAATGTTTATGAGGATATTGCAAAATGCACAAATCTAGCTGTGCATGGCGGTGCACGCTTTAATCCCAGTACATGGGAGGCAGAGGCAGGCAGATCTCTGAGTTCAAGGCCAGCCTAGTCTACATAGTAAGTTCCAGGCCAGCTGGGGCTACAGAGAGACCCTATCTCAAAAAGACCCCTGCCCCCTAAAAAAGGCACAAATCTTAAGTGTGCACCTGCATATTTATTTATAACCACCAGAGTTCAAGCTATAAAATATGGCAAGGGCTCCCTGTGCCCCAGCCAGCCAGTCCCTATGCCTGACCTCAGTCTTTTTACTGCTGTCCTACATATGCTAGCACGTATTCATGTTCACCCTTGCCCTGTGTATGGGCTCTGGCTGTTTCCAGTGGAGACTATCAGTACTCCTTCCTTCAAAAATCTTTTTGAACCAAGGGTGGTGACGCAGGCCTTTAGTCCCAGCATTCAGGAGGCAAGTAAGTTCAAGGCCAGCCTGGTCTCCATAGTGAATCCAGGCCAGCTGTGGAGCATTACAGGGAGACCGTGTCTCAAAAACACCAAAAAAAATTTTTTTGAGACCTCAAACATACTATGTAGCTGAGAAATACCTTGAACTCCTGATCCTCCTGCTTCTACCTTAAAAAATATTTTGGGCCGGGCGTGGTGGCACATGCCTGTAGTCCCAGCACTTGGGAGGCAGAGGCAGGCGGATCTCTGTGAGTTCAAGGCCAGCCTGGTCTACATAGTGAGTTCCAGGACAGCTGGGGCTACAGGGAGACCCTGTCTCAAACAAACAAACTAACAAACAAACCAGCTGCAATGAGGAAAAAAAAAATATATTTTGGGAGTTTTAATTTTTTTAGAGCTTTTATTTTTATTTGAGTCACGGTCTCCCTGTAGCCCCAGCTGGACTGGAACTCACTACATAGACCAGGCTGGCCTCAATCTTGATTCACCTGCCTGTGCTTCCAGAGTGCTGGGTGAGCCCCGCCATGCCCAGTTTATGTATGTCTTTGGTGGACATGCATCCTTACTCCTCTTGGAGAGCTATCTAGGAAGAGAGCTACAGTCATAAGGAGATCATGTATATTAACAAACTAAATGATTTCCCAAAGTGGGCTCCCCACTGACATTCCCACCAAGTCTGACTTCTGGGTCCACACCCCTTCCTCAGCACTTGGTGAGGTCAGACCTTTCTATCCTGAGCTTCTGGGAGGTGCCTGCTTGGAGGCCCATCTCTCCTCTAAGCAATGATGGTGGGTACTCAGCAAAGGTTTGCTGAAGGAATCCTGCAGCAAGCTGTGAAGGGGGCTCCCTACTTGGCAGGAAGGTCATAGTCTCTACTCACCAGTAAAGCTCAATAAGCCAGCACAGACAGACTGCGCCTCCTGGGTGTTCAGTGGTACCCAGGAGGCTAAACCCATTTTCCCCATTCCAGGAGGTATGGAGGCCTGGCCAGCTAGCATTGCCTTTCTTACGCTCCTGCCCTCTGATTCAGGGGGTCACACTCTTAATACTTGGGGAAGGTTGGGCCAGGTACTTCCCCTTGGTTCTGAGGTCCTGCAATAGGAAATGGCTGATAGCTTGGTTTGGGTATATTTTGTGACCAATTTTACCTAGTACTAGTTTTACTCAAAAAACACTGGGCCATTCTCAGTCCTGGTTAATAAAACCCTCCATGGGGCTGGAGTATGGTTGCACACAACTTTAAACCCAGCACTCGGGAGGCAAAGACAAGCAGATCTCTGTGAGATCAAGGCCAGCCTGGTCTATATAGTCTACATAGTACGTTCCAGACCAGCTGGGGCTTCATAGTGAGACCCTGACTCAAAAAAACAAAACCAAAGCCAGGCGTGGTGATGCACAACTTTAATCCCAGCACTTGGGAAGCAGAGGCAGGCAGATCTCTGTGAGTTCAAGGCCCTGGTCTACATAGCAAGTTCAAGGCCAGCTGGGGCTACAGGAAGACTGTCTCAAAAAGACCAAAAACAAAACAAAACAAACAAAAAGACAAACAAAACACAATAAAAAAAAACACCCAAAAATCAATCATCACCCTCCATGAACTCTGAACTTTCCTGATCCAGTGACCTTCAAAGTCATGTACTGAGGCTGGTGAGCCACAAGAGCCCAGACTTAAAGTCCTTAGAAATGAGACAAAATCCATTATGAATCTTAGGTAAGTAAGATACAAACTCTGCATTTGGGTTTGTTACATCAGCAAGCTGGCCCTCATACAGGCGAACTAGCATAGTACACATAAGACATAATTACCCCCCTTTACGGGTAAGGAAATCAAGCCCCAGAGAAGCTACAGAGCTTGTCTAAGGCTAGTGAGCTGAGCTGTCATGATTTGAAACCAGGACCTGGCTCCAGAGGTCCCAGTTCTAGGCACACTGCCTTAAGGCTGGACTAAGAGACAGGCCCAGAGCAGAGGGCAGGCCAGCTCTCACAGGACTGCCTCATACCCACCTGTACGTCCTCCAGTCCTCTAGCTGGATGGCACAAACCTGCTCCTAGCACGCTGGCTTTCCTACCTTCCTACCCTCCCCTGAGCCCTCTAAGTTCAGAATCTACCTCTTTTTGTTCATGTTTGGAGATGGTTATACTCCACTGCCCAGGCCAGCCTTAACTGAATTCTTGGTTCCAGCCCCTGTGCTGGTTTCGTTTGCCAGTACACTGGTCTCTTGGGGTGGGCAGGCAGCCCCCAGCTCACCTCCTGCCAGCACTGCCACCCATATGGGTGTGGCTGTTACTGTCACTCAAAAACAGTAAACCCTTTCCCAATTGTCCCTCCTAAACTCTCAGGGCTCAGGTATGCTGAGGGCCAATCCCAGCCCTATAGTGGTCACCACTGCCAGAGTGTGTAACTGTGATATAGCTGGTGCGCCATGCCCACCCCTCAGTCCCAGGGAGCAGGCTCTCAGATTGGGGTAGAAGAGTCACTTCCACTAAGGGAGACTTTCTAGACAGGGAGCACAGGGGAGGCAGACAGCACCCCTGGAGGCACTGCGTAGCCCATCTTCTTTTACATGGGGCAGGTGACTCTGGCTCCTGTCTCAGAGCAGAGTGGCACACATATGCTCCCTCCAAAACCCATTCTGCCCTCTCCCTCCTCAGGTTGGGGTTGGCTTTAGCCTCCCAATCCCAATCCACTCATTTTGCTCCCCACTCTAAGTCCCTCTAGAAATATGAAATCCTGCCATTTTAAAATCTCCTTTGCAGTGCAGGGATAGAACCCAGGGCTTTGTGTATGCGAGGCAAGTGCTCTGCCTCTGAGCCACACTCCAACCACACCCCCACTTCCGCCATCTTAAAAAGCAGCGAGGCCTCTGCTCAGCAAGGCCTTTCTCCTCTCAGCTCCCCCCTTAACTACTGAAGCAGCAGTGTGAAGGCTCTCCTCTTCAGGGACACCTCATTGAGCTGTCCTCTCCCTTTCTCCAGGACCACCTGGATAGCTCTGGGTCTAGCAACTCTCATCTCCTCTGGTGGCCTTCCTCTCCCTATGAGGTCCCAGTCCATACACCTGTCTCTAGGCCTCAACATCAATACACCCAATTGACACCTCCTTCAGTGCCCTCATGGGTACCCCAAATTCATCAGAGCCAAACTTACTTAAGACCTTCAAGCCAAATCCTGTCCTTCCTCCTGTGTCCCTACCCCTGCCAAAGAGCTGTAGAAAGCTAGCGGAGGCTCTTCTCAATTCCTTCCCTCAGCCCTTGCCGCCTGAGCCTCAGGTCAAACAGGCCTGAGTCTCCCCAACTCTCCAGACTGTAGCCACCATCATCTGTACTCCCACGATCTCCAAGGATCCCCAGATGCCTCCATCAGGAAGATGCCAGTGATCTTGTCAACAGATGGACCTACTATCGCCCTCGAGGCCTTCTAGACTGAAATGTTCCTGGGCCCAGGAAGCCCATGTGGCCACTGCCTCCTCCCCACCTCACCACTGCTGCTCCCTGAGGACACACAGCTTTGCCTGCAGCACTGGAGCTGCCAGAACTGCTCAGAAACACATGTGAACAGACAGAGAGCTTTGCTCCAAAGCTGCCTTACAGGCACTCTGCTGTCTGAACCTGTTTCTTCTCTGTATTGGACCCTTCACTTCACTGGCTGCAGAGCTCCATAGTTTTCAAGACCCAGTCTCAGTACTGACTTCTTCTGTCCCTTGTCAGCTGCCCAGAGAGGGCACCTGGAGGCTGCCCAGGGTCTCACAGTACAAGGAGAGGCTGTCCCTGAGCACATCCAGCACTTGCTGGCTCAGTTACAAGATCACCTTCCTTTCTTCAGTGCTCCTGGTACTACCCCAACCTCCCACTCAGGCACTGGCTGGCCCACCACTGTCTCTGGCCCCAGCTTGGTATGGGAAGGCAGGTGGGCCAATGGGAATGCAGCCACAAAGCCCCGAACACAGGCTGGAAAGAAACCAACATGCTCTTTCATTTGTTTTTTTTTAATAAATTTAAGAACAACTCCATCTTTCCTCCCCAGAGCAACTAAAACCAACTAAAAGGGGTCTGTGGCCCGGGGTGGGATGCAGGGTGCTAGGAATCATAGTCCTCTTCATCCTCTGCATCAGGTGCTGAGGGGCCTGGGGGCGCAGGGGGCAAAGGCGGAGTAGAGGTGAAGGGTATGAAGGGTGTCGGAGGGCTGCAGGGCAGAGAAGAGGAAAGTCAAGGCCACTGTGCCCAGCCCATGGGCCCCAACATTGCCCTACAGACGCAGATGTGGAGTCTGCTACCCTCTATACCATGGGACAAAGCCCCAGATTAGGGAAGGGCTCAGAGCAGGTCACAGAGCCCCCTCCAGGTGCTACCCACTGTCCCTGACTAGGGCGGATGCAAGACCTTCTCAAAACAGATTTTTGCTTTTAAGATCCCCTCCTGTCTAGTAAGTTACCACCACCACCAAGTGGCCAGGGAGATAAAGTTTGACGGTTCCGTGGAGTCTGGCAGCCCCCTTCCAGTGCCCCTGGGCTGCTTACCTCTGAAAGTGGGCAGGGGGCTGATTGGCTTGGGGTGGGGGCTGTGGTGTCTCTTCTTCCCCATCAGTATCTGTGTCCTCTGATTCATCCTATGAACACAGCAGGGGTCAGGGTTAAAAAGGGAAGGTCTGAGCCCATATTGGAGAGCCCAGACCCTGGGTGGCCTGGCTAGTAGGCCTGTTAACATTCATATACAGAGACAGAGATACAGGAGAGGTCACAGATAAGGATGAGACCAGGCCTCCAGCCAGCAGCCTGCCCTTCCCATCACCACAGAGCAGGCCTCGCTCAGCTCACCTCCTGCTCTGAGTCTGTCCCAGACAGCTTCTTGTCTTTGCCTTTGCTTCCCATTCCTCCATTCTTCCTGCTGCTGCTGCCTGGTTTCCGGCCCCTTCGGGAAGGTACAGTCCATCTGCCCAGGGGACTCTCTCCTCCTTGGCCACCCCCCAGCCACCCCCAACCCTTGTGGCTTTGGCCTTCCCCACCTATATGCCTAGTCCTGGCTACCCACCTACGAGGACCCTTGTCCCCATCCATGTGGTTGTCTTCGCCATCCCCCTGCATGTCAGGTACTGAGGCCACCAAGTCTTTCAAGAAGTCAAACTGTTGCTCCAGCTCAATGCACTGCTTCCTGGAAGAAGTGGGAGGGGAAGGCACTCAAAGCAGGGCCTAAACACTAAGTTCCTTAGCAAAGGACAGCAGCAGCCTCTGGATGTCAGGAGACTGGAACACGGGAAACACCCCTCTCCACCTCCACCAAGCCTCCCCCACCTCTGCGTGGAACACCCCATCCTTCCTCAACCAGTCTAAACCCACCTGCCAGGCCTCACCCTGCCTCCCACCTTCCTCCCTCTCAAGGCACTGTCTTCCCCATCCGCCCCTCCCAACTCCACGGCCACTCACAGGTGGGATGTGGTCATGGTCTTGGCATTCCGGGACTGGGTCACCTGACAGGCCTTCTTCAACAGAGACTCTAGAAAGAGCTCGAGCGCACGGGCTGAGGGGGTGTCAAGGAGAACCTGGGGAGTGCTGCCAGCCCGCCCCACACCCCTCAGCCCGGGCAGCCCCCAAAAGGATACAGATGATGACGGGCACAGCCGCGGCCACCTTCCCAATCTCTTCATCCGTCTGCATGATCTTCTTGATCCGCGCCTGCGGAAGCGGGCAGAGTTCGGACGCTGTCGCCTCCGTCCCTGTAGGGGTCCTGGGGGCCAGGAAGGGGGGTACCGCGGGAGAAAGGGGGCGGGGGAGAACTGCACGAGCAAGAAGTGCACGAAAGGGGGCGGGGCGTCCAGGCCCAGAACACCGTGATGCCCCCGCGCCCCCAGCGGGGCCTGGGCCTGCGCCTCCCGGAGCTCAGCCCGCTGCGACCCGGCCGGGCCACGTGCTCACCGGCGGGAACCGCGCGTTGTACTTCTTCTTCTTGCTCGGCATCTCGGGGCCTCTCTCGCCGCGCCGGGCCCAGCGCCGCCGCCCGCAGCCTCGGGGCCCCGGGGCCTGCTTGCCGCCCCGCCGCCGCGGTTCCTCCGGGTCCTGGTGCCTCCCGCTCCACTCCCGCCGTCCCGCCCCCTCTTCCCGCGGGGTCCTAGCGCCTCCCGTCGAAAAGCAGCTCACAAGACCCAATCTCCCCGCTTTTGGAGCCGTTGGTACCGTGCGCGTCGTTCCAGGGCAGGCAGGACACTCACGCCCGCCCCACAGCCAGAAGTGCAAACGTTAGCTCCGCCCCCTGAAGACCAGCTCCTCCCAGGCGCCCCGTGTTGGCCCCGCCCCCAAATTCAGCCCGCCCC